CAGCCAGAATGCTCCTTGGAAGCAAGTATGGCCAGACTTTGTCTCACCTACTTCGGTCATGTTGTCAGAAGAAACCATCCCCTGGAGAAGGATATCATGCTTGGTAAGGTGGGTGGTCAGCAAAAAAGAGAAAGACCCTAAATGAGATGGATTGACAAAGTGGCTGCAACGATGGGTTCAATAGCAAGGTTGCAAAGATGGTGTGTGACTGGGCAGTGTTTTGTTCTGTTGTACATAGGGCTGCTATGAATGGAAGCCAATTTAACGGCACCTAACAACAACAATAGAGTTATTTTTAGTTGTTTTTTTTTAATAAATGGATTTTATTGAAATATAATTTATGTACAGTGAAATATACAAAACTAAAGTGACATTGTCAATGCTTTTTTTTTGCAGTGTTGCCTCCCCTCCCCTCCCACCCCTGGCAATCAACAAAGAAAGTTTCCCTCCATATATAAACCTCTTCTTGACCCTCCACAACAACAAACTAATACTATACTTGTCCATCTGTGATTTCACTCAGCAAAATGTCCTCCAAGTTCATCCATGCTATGCGGTGTTTTGCAGACTCTACATTATTCTTTAGTGCTGCATAGCATTCCATTGTGTGTAAGTACCATATTTTGGTCATCCACTCTTCCATTGATGGGCATGTAGGTTGTTTCCATCTTTTTGCTATTGTAACTAGTGCTGCAATGAATATAGGTGTGCATATATTTTTTCCTGTCCTGGCTTTCACCTCTCTATATATACCTAGTAATGGGATTACTAGGTCAAATGGTATCTCCAATTCCAGCTTTCTAAGAAATGACCATACTGCTTTCGACACTGGTTGTATCACTTCACAATTCCACCAGCAGTGTATGAGAGTCCCAATCTCTCCACATCCCCACCAGCATTTGTTATTTTCTGTCTCGTTGAACCTTGCCATCAGTGCTGGGGTGAGGTGGTGTCTCACTGTTGTTTTAATTTGCATCTTTCTGATGGCCAATGATCATTAGCATCTCTTCATGTATTTGCTGGCCACCTGACTATCCTTCTTGGCGAAGTGTCTATTCATGTCTTCTGTCCATTTGTCAATTGGATTGTTAATTCTTTTGCTGTTGAGGTGTTGGAATTTCTATAAATCTTAGAGATAAGTCCCTTGCCAGATATGTAATTATCGACAAGTATGAGTTTGTTGCTGGCATTTTTGTTATGTGCTTTTTTGTGGTGTCAATTTCTTTGTTCCACATAATTTTCTGTGCTGAGCTTGTTTTGTTTATGAATCATGTTATCACTTCCTTCATTGCTATTGTTTTAGTATTTGCTAAATATTTTTTCTGGTCCTCTTTTTTATTTTGATGTGAAAGTTTATCACTTTTCTTTGAAGTTACCCTGTGATTTATAGTTTTCTTCCCAAGTTTAGAACAGTCCGTTCTATCTTGTAATTGTCTTGACTTCCCTACCATTTAGAAGTTCTTTAACTACACAATTTTTTCCCTCTTTTTGGTTTGTAGCTGTCCTCATTTGTCAATTGATGTCTCTGGTTCCCTGTTTAAAATCTGGTAGGCTTATTTACTTTGGATACTTCCATAACTGGGTTGATTGCTGGGTTATGTCACCATGTGTATTAATGGTCAGTTGTTGTTTGCAGTTGTTGCTTCTCTGTCCAAAGAACTCCCTTTATCATCTCTTGAAGGGTTGGTCTGGTTTTAACAAATTCCTTTATTTTCTGCTTATCTGGAAATGTCCTAATTTCACCATCATATTTGAAGGACAGTTTTGCTGGGTACATAATTCCTGGTTGGAAATTTTTCTCTTTCAGGGTTTTATATATACCATGCCATTGTCTTCTTGCCTGCATGGTTTCTGCTGAGAAGTCAGAGCTTAGTCTTATTGGTTGCCCTTTGTTTTTCCCATGTTGCTTTCAGAATTCTTTCCTTGTCTTTGTGAGTTTGATGATGATATGTCTTGGTGTTTTTCTTTTAAGGTCTATCTTGTTTGGGGTTCATTGGACTTGTTGAGTGGCCATATTCTCATCTTTTGTCATACCAGAAAAATTCTCTCCCCACAAATCTTCGACAATTTTTTCTGTGGTTTTATTGTCTCTTCCTGTTCTGGAATTCTGATTACACATAGGTTATTCCATTTGAAGGTATCCCACATGAACCTTAGGCTTTCTTCATTTTGTGTTAATCTTTTTTCTGATTGATTGCTTTCTGAAGAAGTATTGAGATATTTGCCCTCAATCTCACTAATTCTGTCTTCAATTCTACTCCTTTGTCCATTCAATGTCTTTTCTATTTCTGAAAATGTAATATTAATCTTCTGGATTTCTGTCTGTAGATTTTGTATCATTTCCAATTTTTCATTTATTTTGTCGTTTTGTTCTTGTATAGTCTTTCGAAATTTTACTAGGTTTTTCTCTGTGTTTTCCTTGACCTGTTTCTCAATTTGTTGAAGATACCTAAATATAATTCTTTTGAATTCCTTATCAGGGATTTCCAGTGCTGTATCTTCCTCAGGAATGTGTTTTGGGTCTGTATCCTGGTTCCTTGCTTCTCCTCCTTTATCTTCCTTCTTTGTGTGCACTGTGATGCTCTGTTGTCTCCAAGGCATTGCGACATTTTTATGTTTATATTTAATTGGTGATTGTATGTTGGAGCGACTTGCTCATGATATTCATTTTCTTTGTATGTTATCTATGTAAGCAGGCTACTGTGCTGTGCTCCTGTATTCGCTACTTGGCATCACTTATACTCTCACCACTTGTCTCCTTTCCCATTGTCAGCCTCCCTTATCTCCCTGCCATCCTTAGCAAATAGAGCTTATTCTTAGGTCCCTGGAATCTGAATGAGAGTGGTCACTTAAAATCCAAAATGGCCACCACTTATAAAGATTCAAAATGGCTGTACCCCCAGTCACTTTAAATATCCAATATGGCCACTCTTGTAAACATTCAAAATGGCTGCACCCTTGGTCATCTGAAATATCTAAAATGGCCACTGCTTGTAAACAATCAAAATGGCTGCACCCTCCGGACTGCTGAAAGTCCACAGTTCAGGTTGTCTCTCTTCTTGCTATTTCCCTTCCTAGTCATAGGCCACCAGCGCAGTCATCCCTGCAGCCCTTGGTAACAAGGGCTGATCTTTAGGTCAATTCTCAGGTCCCAACACCACTTGGAAATATTCAGGCTGTTGGTCCTTTCAGAGTAGCTGACAGTCCACTGCTCCATCTCTGTACTCACTTTTTTCGTTCAGGTTTTTCCACTAGTTGGTGCTTAATCCACTTCCACATACTTCCTTCCAGGGAGCTCTGGTGGCATAGTGCCTAAGGCATTTGACTGCTAACCAGAAGGCTGGGGTTCAAACCCACCAGCCATTCCCCAGAAGGAAGGTTGGGCAATCTACTTCCATAGTGATACCACCTTGGAAACCCAAGAAGGGAATGCTAGGAGTCGGATCCGACTCCACGGCAATGATTGCATTGCGTTTTGCGTATACTTCCTTTCAAAGTTCAGGGCTCCAGGATTATCTTCTGTATCTCTGTCAATTGGTTTCTCTTTTCTTTGTTGAAGAGGGTCTGCGTAGCTTATGTGCCTATTCCTCCATCTTACTGGAAGTCCAACAATAGTTTTTAAAAGTATGAAAGCATCCTGAGATTAAAAATTTTGAGAGCTGCTGACCTAGCTATAACCTAGCCAAATGTTTAGCAACCATCTAAAAAACTTCCAGATATTTCCAAACTCAGTGGTAAGTATCTGTTGCCTTGAGCCTCATGAATGACCCTTCCCATACCGATTATCTAGGGCCCTCCAACAAGAGTCTTCAGAACTCTCACACAAGAGCAACTAAAAGGTTTATCCATGGGCCACAGGAGACTCCAGGACCTTCAGTTACATTCCTATCTTGGCATCCCTTAATGTCTATGAGCATATCCTGCCTGTTAAATATTTTTAATCTCACTCTTACAGAGAAACCAATTGCATGGTCCTCTGAGCTTCTATGTTGACCTGAGTTCAATGAAATTTTTTTTGTCACACTTTTTCTTCTTCAGCCTTGTTTTCCCCTGATGTATTTAATTTTGTTATTTGAGAGAATTTCCTGAAAGTAAAATATTGAGATTTTAAAAAATGCAGAAACAAGGGCAGCAAAACTAGGTTTTCCTGCGATTCCTCCCCCACTGCCTTGAGCTGTGTGGTTTTGGGCAGTTTACTTAATCTCTCTGAACCTCAATCTCCTGCTTTGTAAAGTGGGGATGAGAATATCTACCTTTCAGAATTGAGTGAATATTAAATGTAATGTAACAAAAGAGCGGCACATAAGCACAGCTCATATATCATCATCATTATTTTATAAATAGCCCCAAATGGAAGATCTGAGCTTGTTAACTTCTTCAAAGATAATGATCTGAATTAAACCACATTTTGCAAACATCTTGCAGTGACCCAGATAGTTTTGCTATAGCTCTCAGGGAGAGATAACCTTCAACAGATGAGTGAAAAGCTCACCATTTCCTGAAGATGAGGACTCAATGTGATGGAGAAACACTGAACTAGATATCAGGGCACTTGGCTCTACTCCCAGGTTTGCCACAAACTCACTGAATGGTCAGAGCCTAAGTTTCCTCATGTATAAAATGTAGGGGTTGACCGAACTGATCTTTAAGGTTTCTTGCAGCTATGATTCTATTAAAAAGAAAATTGGACATGCCCCATGGTATTTTATTTTGCACCAAATCCACTTACTTTCTATAAGACCCAGACCCCTTGTTTGGTCTTCCCAAGGAAGTGGGTGACTTTCTTTGACTTTAATGTATCTTTTGGATGCTCACTAGATCTGATGTAGAAGATGACTAGCTTTAGGGAAAAAAACAATCACTTCTTTATCAGATGCCCAAAGCCCCTGATGTACTCCTATGTCCCTTGTGTAATGCTTCTTAAATCAGTATTTAGACGTTTCTACACTTAATGAGTTATTCCAGTGGTCAACTCTAATCCCTATACATGTATTACAAAGATGGAGAAAAGGAGAGGTAAGGCATGAAGCTATTTACTTAATGCTGCCTGGGCTGTAGGTGACTATAACTTGACCTTAATTCACCTACAGAGCAAAGAATCTTATCTCAGACTCACTCCAATTCTTCTGAACCCCCTTCCTTTTCTGTGTCTTTCACGTTGCTCATACAGACCACAGGAACCAGAAGAGTTTTTTCCCATTTAAACAGCATCAGAGAAAAACCAAAAAAAGAATCACCCAGCTCACACATAGTTTTTCACCCACCCACCTTTCCCAGCCAAGGAAGCCTCTACCACACTCTCATAGATACTGAGCAAAGCACCTGGATACAAAACTGTGTGTAAGCAAATTCAGCAGTGACCAAGGGTCCCTCCTCCTTGCACACAGAAAGGTATGTGGATCCTTGGAAAATGGATAGGTGCACAGGGAAGATAGGGTAGCCAGGGCTTCGGTCGCTCTAAACTCTGCTACTCTAAAGTGTGGTCTGTGGACCAACAGCATCAGTATCATTTAGGAGCTTATTAGGAACACCATCTCTTGCATTTTAACAAGGTTCCCATGTAATTTGTATGCACATTAAAATTTGAGAAGCACTGCTGTCAACAACCCAAGTATCAATTCTGGCAGTTCTAGAGAATCTAACTTAGATATCATTCTGCCAGCAGTGAATGCTAACTGATCAAATGACAAACTATTGTCCAAGTATTCGCTTTGTAACACTCTGGTGGAATTTCTGGTTAAGTTCAAAGGACACAAATATATCACAGAGCAATACTAATTTTTGTTCTATTCTCATTCTAAAAATGAAGGGGTCAAAAACAAAGGGATAGCCTCTATATTTGGAGAATGGAATTGAGGGCATATGGTAAAACAAAATAAAGGTCTATCACAATTCCAAATCAGATTAGAAACCATTGGTCTGCTCTTGACATTTGTTATTGTGCAATGAGGCCACTTACCATGAAGACAAGAGAGACAGAAGGTAAAGACAACCTCATTTTATGAAATTTCTCTTCAATTAGTTGAAATCCCAGAAGTAGAAGCTGCACATTTGGCCTTCTGGAATAGTGACAGATGGTTGACAGTATGATCTAATACTCTAAAGGAGAGAGCAGATGTCCAGAAAGAAAAAAAGTTGTTTTGAATTTCTAAGTCTTTTGCTATTGTCCTCAGTTAAGTCATTTCTGTCATCTATGAAATGAAAATTACAAATACCTGGACATGGAGAGATGGAGAAGTTGAGTCTCCAGTAGTCCACTGAAGGGAATTATAATAGTGAAAGAAGCATTCCTTCACCCTCTCCTACCATCCTACCCACACCTGCCCTGAAATATAGTCCAGAGGAAGTTATTGTCTAAGTTATTGTCACTAATATTTGCAAATTTGTCAGCTAAGGAAGGCACAAGCTCCCAAGAGGTATTGCCCTTCAGTTTAGCAGGGAACTCCTGGAGGTGAGGAATCCACAAATATTCCAAGGAAAAATGCACCAGTGATGGAGACACAGTATAGGAAGGAAGTGGAAATATAAATTTTTTTTTTTTTTAATGAGTTCCTGCCTGTGTCTTTCAAATTACCACGTGTATTGATTTTGTAGGGCTGCAGTAGCAAAGCACCCAAAACTGGGTGGCTTGAAACAACAGAAATTTATCTGTCATCATTCTGGCAGCTGTTGTTGTTAGTTGCCATCAAGATGATTCCAACATGGCAACCTCATATGTGTCAGAGTAGAATTAAGCTTCATACAGTTTTCAAGGCTGTTACCCTTCAGAAGCAGATTGCCAGGCCTCTCTTCCAAGGTGACTCTGGGTGGGTTTCAACTGCCAATCTTTCAACTAGTGGTTGAGTGCTTACCTGTCTATACCAACCAGGGAGGCTAGCAGTCCAAACTCATGGTATCAGCAAAGCCATGTTCTCTCCGATGGCTCTAGGGAAAGACCCTTCCTTGTATCTTCCAGCTCCTGGTGGTTCCTAGAAATCCACGGCATTCCTTGGTTTGTAGATGTCTCACTTCAATCTCTGCCTGTCTTCCCTCTGTGTTTTTGTCTCTTCTCTTTTTATCATAGCACCAGTCATATTGAATTAGGACCCCTCTACTCTTATAGGGAGCTCTAGTGGCATAGTGCCTAAGGCATTTAACGGCTAACCAGAAAGCTGGCAGTCCAAACCCACCAGCTACTCCTCAGAAGGAAGACTGGGCAATCTATTTCTGTAGTGATACCTCTTTGGAAACCCAAAGAGGAGTCGTTATGAGTCGGATTTGATTCAACGGCATTGATTTGGGTTTTTTGGTTTGGTCTACTCTTATATGACCTCATGTTAACTTATAATATCTTCAAAAACTCTATTTCCAAATATGATCACATTCACGGGTAACAGGGGTTAGAACTTATCTTGTAAGGGGACTTAATTCAACCCATAACACATCATCCATAGCAAAAAGCCTGGAATAAGATGTGAAACAACTTTCAACACCAGGAAAACTCAGTTTAACTCTCTGAATGCATTCCCAGGCCTAAGCCCTTGGGATTTTCAAGGTTAGTAGTAACTGTTGTCTGTCTCTTTTCCCCTCCACCCACGTAAAAGGCACACAAGTTAAAAGGCAAGGCCACATCAATGTACCTCTGAGTCTATGGCAGGTGTGTCCTGGGAGTTCCATTTTCCAAGCTCTGAGCAGTTACTGAAATTTCCCAATACAAACTTAGCAATCTAACATTATTTCTCCACCCCACAGGCAGCAGACATTTTACGTACTCTAAATTTGAAAAATTACATCTAAATCCAGAATTCTACTTATATGTAAAAATTACAGGGAGAAAAATATTTCCCTTCCCACCTTCTAAGGAAAATTATTGTTTGCCTGGTCCACTGTGGTGTGAGCCAGGGTAATAGGTAAGGTGAAGAACTGGAGAGAGTGCAAGGTTAGAATAATTTATATTAAAAAAGTCAGGTCACTGATAGAAGCAAGAAATCAATGTGAAAAAGTAGGAGCCAGGGTAAAAAAAGAGGAAAAACCCCATTAACTGAATTTAGAGAATAGAATTTTGAGAGTTTTTAGTGAGTTAGTGAAAATAGGTCAATTGCCATGCAGTTGGGGGAAAAAATAGTGATAATATAGGAAAAGAGGGTTTAATGACATTTTGCTGGGTGTTATAAATTGAATTCTCCTTCATTACCTCTATAAGATTTCAGGGTAGACAAATTGATTTTCAATTTTTTTTTTAATGTTTTAATGTTATTTCTTTGGTGACACCATCCTGTGAAGGGCCAAAAAGTACCCTGGATTTATTCCTATTACATTAAAAAGAAAAACCTCCAGGGCTGCCTTTCCTTCACACTTATCTGCCTCCCACTTTCATGAGATGACTTTTCATCAGATACCCTTGGGGAGTCCATCCAAGGAAAAGAACTATAGACAAGCTCCTCACTGGTTCTTAACTGTAGACCTAGGAGTGTCAATGTTTCTGAAGTCCAGGAAGCATATTTTTATCACAAGAAAGTCTGTGAGAGTAAGATCTGGAACTTCCCCTTGTCCCTACATGACCTTCTCAGACACAGGCTAATTTATGGGAACTCTGGGAAATTTCATGGCTGTGCCTAGGAAAATATAACACCATGTAATTAAATAATTTCTAAGGGCATGAAGTTGCCTCAAAAGCAACTTGTCTTTCTCTTTTTCAAATTTATGTGCTTACAAATATTCCTGGCTTGAGGTTCAGATATCAGATTCCAGATGCATCTGAGAACAATTCTTGATTATTTGTGCTCATGGATAATTATAAATTATTTGAAAAGCATTTTTATTTTTTTATTGAGTAAAATTACTTGCAATAAAATGCACAGATCTTAAGTGCAGATGATATAACTTTTCTTGCTGAAAGTGAAGACAAATTGAAGCATTTTGAAGTAATTTGAAGACAAATTGAAGGCAAATGATTACGGCCTTACACCTCAACATAAAACCTTGACTGATGAAGATTAAAGACGGAAGTTTTCAGTATAGATTACATTCAACATAAAGAAAAAAGAATCCTTACAAATAGACCAAAATCATGATAAATGGCAAAGAAACTGAAGTTGTCAAGAATTTCATTTTACTTTGATCCACAATCAATGCCCATGGCAGCAGCAGTCAAGAAATCACATGGTGCATTGCATAGGGTAAAACTGCTACAAAAGCCATTTTTAAAGTATTAAAAAGCAAAAATGTCCCTTTAATGACTAAGGTTGCTATGGACCAAGTTATGGTATTTTCAGTCGCCTCGTATGCATATAAAAGCTGGACAATGAATAAGGAAGACATTTTGCTGGGTGAAGAAGAATTGATACATTCAAATTGTGATGTTGCCAAAGAATACTGAATATATCATGAACTGCCAGAAGAACGAACAGATCTCTCTTGAAGGAAGTACAGCCAGAAGACTCCTTAGAGGTGAGAGTAAGAATTCATCTCTTACTTTGGATAAGTCATCAGGAGGGCACAATCACCAGACAAGGATAGCATGATTGGTAAAATAGAGGGTCAGAGGAAAAGAGGAAGACCTTCAACAAGATGGACTGACAACAGTGGCTGCAACAATGGGCCCAAACAAAGCAACAGTTAAGAGGATGGCACGAGACCTGGTAACATTTTGTTTTGTTGTGAAAGGTCATTATGATTTGGAGCTAACTTAACAGCATCTAACAATAACAACATAGATCTAAAAAGCCACTGCCATCCAGTTAATTCTGACTCATATCAACCCTATAGGACAAAGTACAACTGCCCCATAGCATTTCCAAGGCTATAAATCTTTACAGAATCAGATTGCCTCATCTTTCTCCCATGGAGTGGCTGGGAGGTTCAAACTGCCAAACTTCTAGTTAGCAGCCAAATGCTTTAACCACTGCATGACCAAAGCTCTTTCAGTTTATGTACCTAGGTTAAATCTCACTTGGTCATGTTTTATCCATTTTATATATTTCTGGATATGATTTGCAAATAGTTTTTAATGAATTTTACATCTGGGTTCATAAAGAATTATTTACTTTAATAGATACAATGCTATTCTGTTTTCTAATTCTTCTTGTGTCAGTTTTGGCAAATATTACTTTCATCGAATTTGTTCATTTCACCTAAGTTTACTTTCATAAAGATATTCATAATATTGCCTTATTGTTGTTGTTGTTTTAGGTGTCATAGAGTTGATTCCAATTCATAGCAACCCTATGCACAACAGAAAAAAAAATGTTGCTGGGTCCTGTGCCTTATGAGACTTTATAATGATGTTCCTCTCATTCCTGGTATTGGTTGGTTGTTTCCTCTCTGTCCCTCTTTCTCTGTCTCTGTCTCTGTCTCTCCCTTTCTCCCTTCCTCCCTCCCTCTTCAATCTTGCTAAGAGTTTTATTAATCATGTCAAAGAACCAACTCTTGGCTTTGTTAATTTTCACTATTGTTTGCCTCTATTATGTTTCATTAGTTTCCTTTTTTATCTTTATTATTTTCTTCCCTCTACTATTTTGGGTTTGCTTTCATAGCTTCTTAAAGTGAAAGCATAGATCACTGATTTCTTTTTTCTAATATAAGCATTCAAAACTATTTAAAATTATAAGTTTATCTCTAAGCACTGCTTTAGCTATACCCAACAAATGTTGATATACTGTATTTTTATTTTAAGTCATTTTGAACTATTTTCTATTTTCCCTTGTGATTTATTCTCTGACTTATGGGTTATTTAAAATACTTATGGGTATTTAAAAATTTTCAAATATTTAGGATATTCTAGATATCTTGTTTATTTCAAATTTTATTCCATTGTGGTCAAAGGATACACTTTATATGATTTCAATCTTCTGAAATTTATTGAGATATTTTATGGGCCACCATTTGGTTAAAGTAATCAATGTCCCATGTACACTTGAAAAGAAATATGTATTCTGCATTTTTTTGGATATAATATTCTAAAAATGGCCAATAGTAAAGTTCATTAATAATGATTAAATCTTTATCTTACTGATTTTTGTTTAGTTGATATGTCAATTGCTGAGAGAAGAGTGTTAAAGTTTTTTACTGATTGTGGATTTGTCTGTTTCTCCCTCCAATCCTGACAGTTTTTTGTTTTATGAACTTTAAAGCTCTACTCTTAGGTGCACAGACATTTAGGATTGTTTTCCTTCCTGATGAATTGAGACTTTTGAAATAAAATGTTCATCTTTGTCTTTTGTAACTTTTTGTCTTAAAACCAACTTTCTGGTATTAATAAGCAATACCAGCTTTTCAATGTTTACTTTTGCATGATATTTCTTTTTTCTATCCTTTTACTTTAATCTGGCATGTCTTTGTATTTAAAGTATATTCTCTTGTAGACAGCATATAGTTGTATCCTGCTGGTTTATCCAGTCTGAAAATCTCTACCTTTTAAATGATGTACTTTATCCATTTACATTTAACGTAATGGTTGGGTCTAGGTTCACCTACTTCAGTCATGTTGTCAGAAGGGACCATTCCCTGGAGAAGGGTATCATGCTTGGTAAAGTGGAGGGTTAACAAAAGAGGGGAAGGCCCTCAGCGTGATGGATTGACACAGTGGCTGCAATGATGAGCTCAGGTATAGCAGAGATTGTGAAACTGTCACAGGACCAGGCAGTGTTTTGTTCTGTTGTACATAGTGTCACTATGAGTTGGAGCCAACTCGACAGCACCTAACAACAACAACAGGTTTGCCTTGTAGATATTTGCTTCCTAATTGTCCTATCTGCTCTTCTATCCTATTTTTCCTTTCCTCTCTTCATTTTGGTTAACTTCTGAACCATGTATGCTTCAAAAGTTTCTAAAGAACAATGGTAATAGCCTTAGTTCCTTTCTAGGAAAAGGTAGGTTATATATAAATATTTTAAATAAAGCAAAGAAATATGAGATTAAGTTATTACATGATTCAGTATGTGAGTGTTTGATGGGGACCTCCTGAACTTCTCATATGTTTGTTTGTTTGTTTTCTTTGCAGAGTTTTGTCAAGATCCTCCACCAAAGATCAGTTATGCCACCTTCAAAGCCCACTCATACAAGAATGGCACCATATTGCTCTGTGAATGCAAGCTAGGCTTTCGCAGAATAAGTAATGCATATATGCTTTGTACAGGAAACTCTAACCACACTTCCTGGGAAAACAAATGTCAATGTGCTTGTAAGTGATTCTTTTTGTAATTACCAAGGGAAGGAGAACTGTAGCACACGCTGAGACACAGCTTCAGCTTTTGTTCACTCAGCCCTAGAGACAAAAATTGGCTGGTCCACTATCCCTCAGAAAAGTTAACCTTATACTCTACATACAGAAGTAACTAATTTTAGTAATCCCTGGAATATTTACTCATTGGAAAATATTTAATGAGCATCTATTAATCTCTATGGGGCAGTTCTATTGTTTCCGATAGGGTCACTATGAGTCAGAATCTACTCGACATGAATGGGTTTGGTTTATTAGTTCCCAAGTACTATTCTAGGCCCTGGGGATACAATAGACATAGCTCTCAAGAATCTTATATTTCAGGAGGGCAGGGTGAAGACATTGCACTAAAAATTACAAAACAATTTGAAAATTTAAGTGAATTAACTTTTTTGTTTTCTAAAGCTCACAAGTCATACCATTCATATCCTAGCTCTATTCCCAAACAATATGAAAGTGTGAATTCCTAGGAATTTCCTATTTTTCCCTCCACCCATCCCCTTTGCAATGACCACTTATGAAACCCTATGGAATAAGTTTTGAGTAGAAAAACGAAGGCAATGAGAGAGGCATTCTTTCCCTTAATGAGTATAAAGTGGGAAACAGGAGCTCATATTTCTGAGTTATAAGGTCTTATCTATTACCAATATTTTCACTTTTGGTTCCATAGGACTTTTCTGGGATTTCTTTTGGGGAAAAAAATGTATTGTTCAGGAGAATATATTGTCAGTCCAAGGCTTTTCCATGCTTGGTAAAGTGGAGGGTTAACAAAAGAGGGGAAGGCCCTCAGCGTGATGGATTGACACAGTGGCTTCCAAGCCTGGTATCAGAAACTGGCATTCCAGAGCATGAGGAATATACACAAAGACCCCAACTTCTCCAAAAAGGCTGCTGCTTATTGTCCCAGTCCAATAAGAGTCCTTCAGGTGTTTGGAGTGGGGAGTGAAGGTGTGGTTTTGGAGGAAAGACAGGACAGTGACAAGCCCACAGGCAGATTAACCTTGATTTTAGGCTCCAAATCGGCAGGAGGAAAACAGCAAAGCAGAAGAAGTAGTTCACTTTGAAGTTCTTTATTTATGGACATCAAAACATAGCTTAAGAGCCTTAGACCATGGTCCTCCATGCTGGATGTAACTGGAATCACCAGTGGAGATTTTTTAAGCACACCTGTCCAAGGATTAATCAAGAATTTATGAATCATAATCCCTAGGGGAAGGGCACAAATAACCCCACCAGTGATTCTGATGCACAGGCCAAAGTTGTAAACCACTATTTCTGATCACTTGTTTCTCTAAGCAAACAAGCATCCAAAGCCTGCTATGTGTCTGGCTTTATGGCCAGCATTATGGTGGATAAAAATACAAGACATTTGTCTTGATACCTGCTTTCAAGGAGTTTACAGACAGGTGAGAAGGCAGAACTAGCTCATATGAAAGGACAAAAGAACAGCTGAGTGGCCAACAACTCTAAGGGCCCCAAACACCATAGTTGCTGGTAAAGGCAAACAGAGATGGCAGGACCACATGTTCAAATAGTATATGTGAACCTCCTCTCTTGAATGACTCCCCAAGACACTTTCTAAATCTAAGTTTATCTGATACCATTATTTTGCTGAGTTTATCTTATATCATTAATTTGCTGTTGAACCTTCTTTTAATCCTGGGAGCTCTCTGGCATAAACTCCATTTCCCCACTAGGTCTCTTTTTCATTGTGTGACATTAAAATGTAGTGAATAATAGTGGACTCATCTGTCTTTTCATATTGTAACCCAAAAGATGACATCAGTGAGCCTCAGTGTCTTTACCCCACCCAGATCTCCTCCCTCACACTAAACTGGAATTCTAATCTCCATTTCACTGTGCTGCCAGCATCCAATTCCTTTGCCAAATGCCACATTAAAGACATGTTATAGGATAAGTTTCCTTGTCATTGCTTAAAGATTGTTTCTCTCTAACTTTTTAAGTTCTGAATTGCTTTAGAGAAGTAAAGGAGCCAGCAGGTCACTGAACCAGACCACTTCTAATTGCTGTCACCTACACATCCATGCAAAATGTTGACAGAGTTGATGGGAAGAATGGAGTTCCTTTTGGGGAAATATACTTCCATCAAGAAAATCATTATTTCTGAAGCATATAATAAACATTGCAATTATGCACAAAAATATCAAGAGACTCATGCAGGGCTGGATGGGAGCATCCCCACTGAGAGCACCCCTAGGGCAGGGACTATGCATGGGTCATCTTTGTAACCAGCACCCAGATGTTGCCTGGCACTTCCCAGACACTCTTTTTGAGTAAATAAATCAATGAACAGGTTTGTTTTGTTTTTGTTATTTTAAGCATTTGTGAAATTATTTGCTTTATTCCACATATATTCTCTAGCCTCTAGGAACCCAGGAAAACCAGTTACACCTAAACCTGCAGAAGGGGAAGAAAGAAAAACCACAGAAATGCAAAGTCAAATGCAGCCTCTGGACCATGTAAACCTTCTAGGTAAGAGATGAATTTCAAACCGCTGCCCTCTGCCTGACTCCTAGGAGCTGACATTGCTCTTGCATGTATATAATATGTCGTTGTTGTTGTTATGTGCCGTCGAGTCAGCCCTGACTCATAGCGACCCCTCCTTGGGTTTCCAAGGCAGTATCACTACGGAAGTAGGATTGCCCAACCTTCCCCAAAGAAGAAAAGTCTGCCCACTAGACTTGAACATGTTATTTCATTCTCCTTTTCTAAGGATATCATGTGGACGAGAGCTATTCTGTACCATATACAGGCTGTTTTCTCAGCATCTCAAATCAGGCTTAGGGCAGCCAACCTGGGCTCAGGGCTTCTTTTCTTTGGAGGTAATGCATATACTTCATAGGTTTGGGAGCTAGCTGAATGGAAATCAACTCAAGTCAATTGAAAAACCATCTGTTGGGACTAACTGCACACCAGGCACTACAGGGAGAAGATATGAGCAGGGGTAGAACAACTTTCTTTGACCTCAAAGAAATGCTCTTCAGTACAAGACAATGAATTACACGCAAAACAATTCCCTTCTGGTGTTTCTTGCAGGTCACAATTATAAAAGGTGCTGTGCTGGGGATTCTATTTGTCTGAAAAGCTGCAGACAGATAAAAAAAAAAAAAACACCAAGTCCACTGCCATCAAATCAATTCCAATTATTGCAACTCCCAATGGGTTTCCCAGGCAATCTTCACAGAAGTAGATTGCCTAGTCTTGCTTCCACAGAGTGGCTGGTAGTTTTGAACCATCAACCTTCTGGTTAGCAATCAGATGCTTAGGCACTATACTACCAGAGCTTCTGCAGACAAATAGCTCCTAGCTAATGTGCTTCACAAGACTGAGCACTGTGACTACCACCTTGCCTGCACACTCTGCTCCAAAATGACTATTGTGTAAGTAAAGTCATAGTGTCTTGGAATAAGAAAACCTGTTAGGAAAACCTGAGCTTTTTTGGGACCAGCAACCCTTATGAGACCCTCACTCCCTTTGAGTCAATTCTGACTCATAGCGACCCCCATTGGGTTTCTGAGGCTTACATCTTTACAGAAGTAGATTGTCCCATCTTCCTTCTGCTATGAGACCTTATAGTCTTATGCTAATTTTGTAACTTTACAAATAAATTTATCATATCATACCCATTGCCATCAAGTCAATTCTGACTCATAGGACAGAGTAAAACTGCCCCATAGGGTTTCTGAAGCTGTAATCTTTATGAAAGCAGACTGCCTCATCTTTCTTCCACAGAGTGGGTGGTGGGTTTTAACTACTGACCCGCAGGATAGCAGCCAAGTGCTTAACTATTGTGCCACCAGGGATCCTCTTCATATCACACACACTCTCATTTGAACTACACACCCCAATAAGCCAGGGAACAGGAAGTTCTATTCCCATTTACTGATGAAGGAATTGTGACATAAAGAAGTTAAAAGACTTGGCTAAACTCCAGGGACACCTAGCTCAATTGGCATAACATAGTTCATAAAGACAATGTTCTACATCCCTGTTTGGTGAGTAGAATCTCCGGTCTTAAAAGCTTGTGAGTGGCCATTAAAAATGCAATTATTGGTCTCTTCCCAATTGGAGGAAAGAGAGTAGAGGAAACCAAAGACTCAGGGAAGAAATTATCCCACATGGCTAATATCCTACATGAACCACTGCCTCCTCTAGCTTGAAACCAGAACTGGGAGCTGCCTGGGAGCTCTGGTGGCATAGTGGCTAAGGCATTTGACTGCTAACCAGAAGACTGGAGGTTCAAACCCACCATCCACTCCTTGGAAAGAAGATGGAGCAATCTACTTCCATAATGATACCACCTCAGAAACTTAAGGAGGGGTTGCTATGAGTTAGATCCTACTTGACAGCAATGAGTTTGGTTTGGTTTTTGGTGGCTACCACTACTGACTGGGAGCTCTGGTAGCATAGTGCCTAAGGCACTTGACTGCTAACCAGAAAGCTGGCGGTTCAAACCCACCAGCCACTCCTCGGAAGGAAGATGGGCCAATCTACTTTGGTAGTGATACTGAATCGGAAACCCAAGGAGGGGTCGCTATGAGTCGGGTCCAACTCGACGGCACATAACAATAACAACAACACTACTGACTGCTCTGACCATGGACACAACAGAAGGTCCTGGTCAGAATGGAAGAAAAATGAGAACACACACAAAAAAAATTAAAAAAAAAAAAAAAAAAAATGAAAGGAAGGACGAGACTTACCAGTATGATGGAGACTAGAGGAATCCCTGAGACACCCTTTCAACCTAGAACTGAAACTACTCCCAGAGGTCACCCTTCAGCCAAGTAATAGACTAGCATATAAAATAAACAATAATACCCATGAGGAATGTGTTCCTTAGAATAATCAACTGTATGAGACCAAATGGGCCACATTTGCCCAAAAGCAATGATGAGATGGCAGGGAGGGGAAGGAAATCTAGAGGGATGAAAACAGGGAAGTCAAGGTAGAAATGGGGAGAGTGCTGAGATATTACTGGGACAGCAACCAATGTCACAGACAAATTATATATGAATTGTTGAATGGGAAAAAAACTTTTTGTGTAAATTTTCACCTAAAGAACAATAAAATGTTGTGGGGCAGGGAGAACTTGTCTAAATTAATAAACATACTAGGATTGAGACAAGACCACCAAACAAACAAACAAAAAAAAACCAAACCAGTTGCCTTCACCTCACAAGACCTTATGTGTATGTCAGGGTAGAGCTGTGCTCCATAGGTTGTTGTTACTGTTATTATTATTGTTTGAGTGAAAGTTTACAGAGCAAATTAGTTTTCAATTCAACAATTTATACATTTTTTGCTTTGTGACATTAGTTGCAATCCTCTCAATGTAACAGTATTCTTCCCACTTCCTTTCTTGGTTCCCTTTTTCCATTTATCCTTCTTTCCTGTCCCTTCCTGCCTTCTGAACATTGTTTCTAGGCAAATGCTGCCCTTTTGATCTTGTGTGGTTGATTGTTTTGAGGACTACAGTCCTCCCTGGTGTTATTACTCACTTTATAGGTCTGCCTAGTGTTTGGGTGACAGGTAATCCCTGTGGGTAGATTCATTTTCAGTTTGAAGGGTGTCTAAGGGTCAGAGTCTAGGGGTCTAGGGGATTCCATCAGTCTTTATCAGACTACTAGGTATGGTCTTTTTTATGATTTTTAATTCTGTTCCACATTTTTCTCTCACAGTGTTCAAGACCTTCTATTGTAATTCCAATCAGAGCAGTGAGTTGTGGCAGCCAGGCACCATCTAGTTCTTCTGGTCTCAGGCTAGTAGAGACCTGAGACACTCTAATCACACTTCCTGGGAAAACAAATGTCAGTGTCCTTGTAAGTTATTCCTTTTGTAACTATCAAGCCAAGGAGAACTGTAGCACATGCTGAGACACAGCTTCAGCTTTTGTTCACTCAGCCCTAGAGACAAAAATTGGTTGGTCCACTATCCCTCAGAAAAGTTAACATTATACTCTATACACAGATGTAACTAATTTTCATAATCCCTGGAATATTTACTCATTGAAAAATATTTAATGAGCATATATTAATCTCTATGGGCAGTTCTATTGTTTCCGATAGGGTTGCTATGAATCAGAATCGACTCAACAGCAACGGGTTAGGTTTATTTGTTCCCAAGTATTATTCTGGAGGAGTCAGCCGCAGGGACCCAGGTGAGGAGAGGGAACCCAGGCCACTCCCCACAAGCAGCAAGATGGGAAGGCAGGGAGAGGACAGAAAAGGCAAAGGGGATCGGAACAGATCTAGGAGTAAGCCACAGGGACCCAGGTGAGGAGAGGGAACCCAGGCCATGCCCCACAAACAACAAGGCGAGAAGGCAGGGAGAGGACAGAAAAGGCAAAGGGGACCAGAACAGATCGAGGAATCAGCCCAGGGACCCAGGTAAGTGTGGTTGGAGAGGTTTCCAACAGCTAAGGAAGACAAACTTGTCTGTTGGTTTGTCCTACTGTGGTTATGTGAGTCTCGAGGCTGTGTCACTGGTGTTTCAAACCCAGTGGGGTGCATATGGTGCACAGGTATCAGCCCGGCTTGCAGACTGAGACACACTAGGAAGAAGGAGGAGGCCATCCACTTCTCAAAGAATTGGCCAGGGATGACCTTGTGAATAGCAGAGAAACACTGTCTGGTACATTACTGTGCAACTTAATGAATAATCTGGAAACATTGTCCAATACAGAGGAGGAAGATGAGTAACTTTAGCTCTCAAAGTAGGACTGGGCAAGAGCTGCATTATCAGAGTAACATCAGCCTTACCCATATGGATAAGGTAAAGCTTTCAAGACCTCCATCTGCTGACGTGGCACCATTCAAATTGAGGAGAAACAGTGGCAAACATCCATTAATAATCGGAACATGGAATATACAAAGTATGAATCTAGGAAAATTGGAAGCTGTCAAAAATGAAATGGAACATATAAAGATTGATATCCTAGGCATTAGTGAGCTGAAATGGACTGGTTTGGGCCATTTTGAATCAGACAACCATATGATCTACTATGCTAGGAAGGACAGTTTAAAGAGGAATGGCGTGGCATTCCTCATCACAAAGGATGTTTCAAGATCAGTCCTGAAGTACAATGCTGTCAGTGATAGGATAATATCCATATGCCTACAAGGAAGACCTATTAATATGACTATTATTCAAGTTTAGGCACCAACCACCAAAGCCAAAGATGAGGAAATTGAAGAATTTTATCAACTTCTGCAGTCTGAAATTGACTGAACATGCAATCAGGATGTGTTAATTATCACTGGTGACTGGAATGCAAAAGTTGGAAACAAAGAAGAATCACTGGTAGTTGGAAAATTTGGCCTTGGTGACAGAAATAATGCTGGAATTCACATGGTAGAATTTTGCAAGACCAACGACTTGTTCATTGCAAACACCTTTTTTCAACAACACAAACGATGGCTCTACACGTGGACTTCACCAGATGGAACACACAGGAATCAGATTGACTACAT